GACGCTCCCAGTGCTGGCGGCTTCTACGCGCAACAGCAACAGCAGGCTCCAGCAGCAGGAGGCTTCTACGCCCAGGACTGGAGGGGCCGCCTCTCCTACACCCTCTGAGGGCTGTCGGGGGCCTCGTCACAAAAACTATATGGAGTGAATGGGTCGGAGTGTAACGTTATGACGTTCCAACCTATTTTAGCCTTGATCACCAGTAAGAGTTTCGAGCACCAAGAAAGTACCGAAACTCGAGGCTGTTCTCGTGACGGGCCCTGGGAGGCGATACTCGTTCGACGCTGTTTCGATACTCTTCTGGTTGCTCGAAATTACTTCTGGAATGTGGTCCTTAAGTACCATGGGGGCAACATATGTGTAACGGGGCGGAGCGGACCTGAGCGGGACTGAGGGAGCTGGAGAGAAAGGAGGTGTGCGAGATGGGGCGAGGGACGGGTATTGTCCCCTTCCTCCTCCTCCTCCTCCTCCTCCTCCTCCTCCTCCTCCTCCTCCTGCTACTGCTCCTGCTCCTCCTCCTCCTCCTCCTCCTCCTCCTCCTCCTCCTCCTCCTCCTCCTCCTCCTCCTCCTCCTTCATAGGGGCCCTCTCCTCCTCTCTCTCACTATCCCCCTACGACCACTACCACCATTACTCCGAGGCGGACAAGTTCTGCAATCACCAATCCAGCGCCACAGCGGTCGGGGCCAATTCTGAAAGATGCGGAGGAAGGCCTGCCATGCGCAGGCCCGCACTTCAGCACCGGGAGGGGCCTCCACCGTTCGCCTCGTCGTAAGTCACTCTAGCAGCACCACACGCCTCGTCGCAGCTCGCAACGGCAGCAGGCGCCAGCTGTTCTCTCCGCGACACGCGCTCTGGCCGCAGCCCAGAGCGTTTCGGGCGCAGCAGCGGCGGCATTGCGAGTGCCGCCGCCGCTTCTCCGAGGGCCCCACCCAACCGAAGTGCATGCGGTTCGACTGCTCGTGGCCGCGGCGCGGCGCCAGGCGGATGCGCAAGGAAGGGGCCTCCCACCAGGTGTTGGCGGAGAGGCCTCGAGGATCCCGGCGGCGGCTGGACCTGCCAGAGGTCCGCCCGCGGAGAGAGGAGGGGGCGGCGCGCGGTTGTCCGGGCCCGGCATGGTATGAATGCCGGCTTCGTCTCTCGATTTCTTTGTTGTTGTGGCTTCTCATTTGCCTTGCCGTCCTCTTCGTCTCTCGCGTGTTCTTTGTTCTTGTGCACCACCTGTCTGGCCCTTCCGCCCCGGCCAAATGCCAGAGGGAAGGGGGGGTTGAAAGACCGAGCGCGGGCAAGGACGCCCAGCGACTAGGGGGGATACCCCGGAGGGGGAAAGGGGGAGGCGGGGGGGAGAGGAACCCGAAGGCGGAGGAAGCGGGCGCGCGGCCGTGGGATCTGAGCCACCGACCCCCACCGTTAGGTGCGCGCGCGCCCGCCTGGGGAGGCAAGGAGCGGGAGAAAAGAAGGAAAGGGAGGGGGGGAAAGGGAGGGCGGAACGCACGCCGAACAAAAAAGAACATGGCCGGGCAGGAGGGGCAGCTGGCAGAAACTCTGGCGCGGGCGCGGCGCCCATCGGAGAGGGGGATTTCTTGCAGGTCCATGGCGGGGGGCGCTATCGCGCCGCGCCGCAAAGCATCGCGACTCCGAGCCTCTGGGAAGGCGAGGGAGGGAGGGCGAGGGAGGGAGGGCGGGGGGGCAGAAGAACGGAGGAGGGGTACGAGGAAGGCTCTTCCCCTCCCTGCTCCTGCTCCTGCTTCCTGCTCATGATTCCTTTCTTCCCCACCGCTCTATTATCTTCACGTCTCCTTTCCCTCTGCTCTATAAATGCGGAGGGACGCGGTGTGAGATCCCCCCGGAGCATGGAGGGGCTAGTCGTGTGTCTGGACAGTGCGCGCCTGCTCCGTCCTGGCCCTGTTCCTTTCGCGCCGTGCTTGCCGCAGGCCGCTCCTCCGCTGGTGGCGGAGGCGGCGGTGTCGGTCTGGTTGCACGCAGCCCGCTGGTTGCGAGTTCATGATGAGGCCGTCCGCTAGGGTGCCCAGCAGCACGCCACGCTGGACGACGGCGCAGTCCAAGTTCACCTCTGTGCCGCGCAGGGGCTCCCGCTTTGCGCGTTGCCAGAGCTCCGTGAGACCGTCCCCCTTTCGGAGCTATCGCTCGCACATCTCCGTGAAGACGACAAGCACACCGTCGAGCATGGGGTCGGCGATGCGCGTCACACAGCTGGGCGGGTCCCCACGCGCTTCACCGCAGGTGTGGTGCTGCGCTCGCGAGCGGCGCGTTGCCATCTACCACAAGCTTGTGACAGGTCACCTGACGGACGGCCACTGCCAGTGCAGAGCCTGGCCTGTTCCAGATGCGCCAGGTCCTGCGAAGCAGGCAGGCACCACGGTGCTCCACGGACACGAGGTCGCGCGGGCCGTGGGGTGCGAGGCATCGGCTGCTGGGCGGGCGCACCGCCCCCGTCGGTTCGGAAAGCCATACGCGCGGGAGAGGGCCTGGCGACGGAGGGGGCGCCACTGTATGGTAGCGGGGGGCGTCTTAGAAGCCCGCGTGCCTTCTCCGAAGCTTGTGGCCCGCCCGTTCTTCAAAGGCTCCCCCTGCCCTCGAGGAGGGCCGCTCCCCTCGCCCCACCCCCCTCGGCGCGCCGCTAATCCTGGCGTCGTCCGCATCGTTCGGAGTTGCGCCACGGCCATGCTGGCACAGGCGCCATGGCAGAGGGCAAAGCACAGAAGGCGGCATGCTTTTCGCAAGGTCCGCTTGGTCTGTTTGAGCTCGCCTGCCTCCGCTCTCTTCCTGCTCATACTCCTGGTCTTTCCCCTCCTCCTCCTCCTCCTCCTCGTCCTCCTCCTCCTCCTCCTCCTCCTCCTCCTCCTCCTCCTCCTCCTCCTCCTCCTCCTCCCTCCTCCTTCTCCCTCCTCCTCCCCTCCTTCCTCTCCTCCTGCCGGGCATTCTCCCGGAAACGTCCTCACCATGTATGGTTCTGAAGCTTAAAATTGGCAACAGTTTCACAGATGGAGAGCGGGTCGTTTTCAAAATGTGGTTCTCGCTGGAGCGCGGCGCACATTCTTTTAAGATAATGCAAGAGCTTCACGGGTTGAGGGCGGGTCGTTTTCAAAATGTGGCTCTCGCTTTAGCGCAGCGCATATTTATTCTAAAAAATCGCAAGAGCTTCCCGGATGGACGGCGGCTCCTTTTCAAAATGTAGTTTTCGCCTTAACGCGACGCACATTCGTTGTTAAAATGTGCGAGAGTTTCACGGATTGAGGGCGGTTCTTTTTCAATATGTTGTTCTCGCCCTAGCGCGGCGCACATTCGTGTTAAAAGATGCAACAGTTCCACGGATTCCCGTCATCAACGTGCCAAAATTGGTTTTGGTAGGATTCAGGATCATGTTTTTGCAACAGTTATGTTGATCCGCTGTGTTGAAGTCCCAAGAATGGCGTTCTGGCACGATTCGGGATTGTCAAGACGCAACAGTCAGGTTGATCCGTGGCGTTGGAATCCCGAGAACAATGTTTTGGCATGCTCCAGGATCTTCAAACGGTCATCCTCCTCCTCCTCCTGCTCCTGCTCCTCCTCCTCATCCTCTTCCTCCTCGTCCTCGTCCTCCTCCTCCTCCTCCTCCTCCTCCTCCTCCTCCTCCTCCTCCTCCTCCTTCTGCCTCCCATCCTCGGTTCTCCCTTTTCTCTTCCCTCCTCCTCCTCCTCCTCCTCCTCATCCTCCTCACCCTCCTCCTCGCTCCCCCCACCCCTCCCGCGTCATCCTCCTCCATCCCCGCACACTCAGCATTCGAATTGGATCCGAGACACTCTTACACAGACGTGGATGAGCAATGCGGAACGAGCGCAGTGGAATCATTGAGTGCAGCAAAGCGTCCGCATCGGTCAGTCACACATCTGGGGCTGCGCAGTGTCGCCAGGAGAGAGGAATTGGAGAAGGACAGGCTTGCAATGTGTGTTGTTCGGGGGGTCTAGCGGGTTCTTGGCGGTTCTATGAATAAAATGGAGGCGGAGGAGGACGAAAAGAAAAAGGGAGGGGGAGGGGGAGGTGAAGAAGGAGCTGGAGAAGGACAGGCTTGTGTTGTGCTTTGTGGAGGGGATCCAGCGGGTCCTCGGAAGTTCAAGGGATTAAAGGGGGGCGAAGAGGAAGAGGAGTGGGAGATGGGGAGGATGAGCAGGTTACGTGTTTGATCGTCGTTTCTTCCCCCCCCCCCCCGCACGACGCCAACGGAAATGATGTGGATTAGCCCTTTGTCCAGAATCATCCATCGGAATTTGAGAGGTGAGATCGCAGTGGAACGGAGACCCTCAACTGGGAAATCGTTTCGTTTCGTTCGTGTCGTGCGTGCGGGCGAGACGAAGCTGCGTGGGCGCGCGAGAGGAATGAACCCGCCGCTGCTAGGGCGAAGTCAAGATAAATGTTTCTCCTCCGTCCAGCGGTGGCTCGCGGTGTCCCGCGGTGTCCCGCCGTTGCTAGGGTGAAGTCAAGACAAATGTTTCTCCATCGTCCGGCGGTGGCTCGCGGTGACCGGCCGTTGCTAGGGCGAAGTCAAGACAAATGTTTCTCCTCCGTCCGGCGGTGGGTCGCGGTGTCCCGCCGTTGCTAGGGCGAAGTCAAGACAAATGTTTCTCCTCCGTCCGGCGGTGGCTCGCGGTGTCCCGCCGATGCTGGGGCGAAGTCAAGACAATTGTTTCTCCTCCGTCTGGCGGTGGCTCGCAGTGTCCCGCCGTTGCTAGGGCGAAGTCAAGACAAATGTTTCTCCTCCGTCCGGCGGTGGCTCGCGGTGTCCCGCGGTGTCCCGTGGTGTCCCGTGGTGTCCCGTGGTGTCCCGTTGAGTGAAATCGATACTGAGATCGATGCGGTGCCCCGAGGTGCCCCGTGGCGTCCCGTGGTGCCCCAAAAAGTATGATCGATAGTGAGATCGATAGTGAGATCGACAGGTGTCCCGTGGTGTCCCGTGGTGTCCCGTTGAGTGAGATCGATAGTGAGATCGATAATGAGATCGAT